TGAGGAGCTATGAGATCTCCCACAATCCACTGCACAGATCAAACCCAACAGGTTATTAATTAAAATCTTCTGCATAAATAAACTCAAATTTACAACATATAAACAATAACCACTGTAGAGCCACATCAGCCCGTTTGATCAGATAATTCAGCTTTGATCACATTTGTTTATGTTTTACAGAAACGAAACTTAAACCACATGACTCATTTGCATAAACTGGTAGCAGTGATAAAAACAGTTCGCTCCTTGTGCCGCTGATGCGTTTCAGCTTCTGTCGGACTAAATGACAGGACTCAGTGGATTATGTGTGCTCTTTTTGTGACAGAAGAGGTGCTGATGATGGTGAGTCTGTTCTATGTGTATATCAGTATAGGAGATAGTTCATGTTTTAGCTTTTCAGCGATCACACGAGTGCAGATTGTATGTGTGCAGGTTTAGTGCAGCTATATAGTGCAGCTTTATTCTACAGTCATTTCACTCATGTGTGGTCAGTTTATTTATGTTGGCCACTTTATTTATGTCGCTACTGTTGCGGTGAAAAGACAGTAAAGAAAGTATTTGTCTTCTGGACGCATGCACACTCAACTTTATGTAGCAATAACCGGGATACTGCGTTTACATGCCACAGTATCCAGGTTACTATCGGAATATACCAGCTACAGTATCCTGGTTTCTAATAACTGCAATAACCGGGATACTGCGTCTACATGCACCATGAAGAAACCAGGATACTCAAAAAACCCGATCATAACCGGGATACCGATGTGCATGTGTACACACTCACAGGGTCTTGAAGGAGAACTAGTGGGCTATTAAAATATGATGTGTTCAAGTTCTAGAATTTGATGATGACTTTATTACTCTGTGGGAGATTTTCAGTTTTTGAAAGAAATATCCAAATTCCACAAATGTCAAACCTTGTCATTATCTGTTAGGAATCTGCTCCACAAACTGTAGTAATCTTATGTCTTCAAGTGCTTTCAGTTGACAGCAGTCACGTCTTTGGGGTTGAATAATGATTTTTATTTTATTATTATTTTTTTTTTTAATGTGGATAGGCCCAGCAATTACAGAAATTTGTTGAATTTGAATGAACAACTGCTTTAGTTCTGGTCATCTAGTCCTGGTTTAGTTGTGGTCTGGTCTTGGTCTAGTCTCAGCCTTGTCTTGGTGCAGTCCTAGTTTTTGTTTTGTTCTAGTCCTGGTTTAGTCCAAGGTTATATTGGGTTTAGTCCTGGTTTAGTTCTAGTTTAGTCCTGGTTCAGTCCTGGTTTAGTGCTGGTGTAGTTCTGGTGCAAAGCTCATTTGATGGCCAAGATTTCAGGTGGCGCCTGCCTCCACCCAGTGTAATTATCAGTGTAATTACTGATGCTAAACTATTTCTCTACTCTGCAATGATTTTTAGATTTTAAAATAGAAAATCCACTTGAAAAAAGAATAAATTTACAAATGTATTTGTGGTTTCAAAATGCCAGAGTAAAGATGATCAGAAATGTTTAAACAGTTTTATCTGTGACCCTGAGCAACATTTACAATCCAGCTTCAACTCATCTCAAAAGTGACATCAGTTCCATCACAGACAGAAACACACTGATTTAGTTTTACATGACATGAGAAAATCACTTTTTACATAATGATCGAGCAAAGAGTCAAACACACATGAAGTTTATAGAAGAATATTTGAAGTGAAAGAAAGTTCAAATGCAGTAACGATTATAGTGTGAACAGTAATGTAGCTAAGACTGCATTTTATACACTAGGCCAAAATTTCAAACTCGACTTTAATGCAGAAAAACAAAATTTACAAAAGTCACAAAATTGAGCCCAAATTGTGAAGAACAAAGTCCCTACTTAAGTTTAGGGAAATATGCAGTGTCTCCAGGAATACCCATGTAGACCCCAACATAGAGAGGCTGAGTGAACTTGGTCTGGACTCTGTAGACGAGGCTCATGGTACTTCCAGAGATGTTGTAAAACTCCAAAACCCCTGCACTGTGGTCCAGGTAAAACCCAATTCTGGACCCGACAGGAACTGAGATCTCAGAGAGGTCACAGAGCCGCCTCAGTCCAACCAAAAGCCCTCAAAGCTAAATCACATTCTGTGTCCCCCTTGTGATGTTTGGATCATTCCCCATTTGAACTAAAAGAACTTTAAATTATGATAATAAAATCATTGAAACTAAAGTCTGTTGTGTGTTGTACTCTGGTGATCCATAATACCTGCACTACAGGGCAGTCAGACCTATAGGGGGCGTTACAAATTGATTCTTCACAAATGGACTTTTGGATATATTTATTAGGTAAATAATGGTCCTGTATGTTATTTAATAGGGGTGTAACGGTGCACAAAAATGCTTTCACCAACAATTCCGTGCCTAATTTTTCCTCCTCTCTCTTGTCCTCTACCTGCCTTTTAAAAGAGTAAGTCAAAAACAGCAAATATAGCAAAAAAGGTAACATGGTGATATAAATATGTTATGTGTTACCAGTTAATACCCCATAGAAGTCTAAGACTTTATGTGATTTTGGCCCACATCATCTGAGGTATAATACTCCCTACAACACTGCAATGAGGTTCATTTGGTCTTCCTATAATTTATGTTCATAAAGTTATTTTTTCAGACCAAGAGTTTGTTTTCATACCTGACAGTTTTGACTGCCCAGTGCTCTTCCTCAGAGTGGTCATGTAATGTTGCTGTGACGTGTCATTCAGCTGATTTAAACAGGTTTAGGCGCTGTCTTCCTACAGGTGGAGGCAGGGCGACAGCGCCTGGTTTAGCCCTGATTTAGGCTGATTTTATTTTGGTTTAGTCCTGGTTTAGCTCTTGTTTAGTTCAAGGTTATTTTGGTTTAGTCCTGGTTTAGTCCTGGTTTAGTCCTGGTTTAGTTGTTGATATCCTGAGTTTCTGGTTGCTGTATAAGAAAAGAGGTGAGGACCACAAATTGTTTTTGTGAAGGTTTAATCCAAACACACAGAGCTCTGGCTCTACTGCCTCCTACAACCACAGAGACCGAGGCTCAGGAACAGACCGTTTTTATACAGCGCAGGAGGACAAGAGGTTCATGTCAAACAAAGTGATCAATACACGGTCAGACGACAACTATAGTGATAAAAGTGCGCTGTGACTACTTCACTTAACTTTAGGTCTGTAAACATTAATAATTTTAGGAAATAACAGTCTTTTTCACATTTTCCTGACATGAAGCTTATTTGTCCTTCAACCAAAATTTAATTATAGTTTTTTTTTTTAAAGTTGTGGTTTTCAGTTCCATCACAGACTGAAACACACTGCTGTACTTTTACATGATATAAGAAAATCACCTTTTACATAATGATCGAGCAACGAGTCAAACACACATGAAGTTTACAGAAGAACATGCAATGTTCCGTGGTTTTATTATTGTTAAAAATGTACATTAAAAGCCCAATTAGGTTAAAATGTGTGTAACTTAAAATCAAGGGGAGAGAGTCACTGCAGCACCAATAAATGAAACACAGAATAAAAATATAAATAATTTTTTTACAAAGGTTAAAAAATGGATTGCAATCTTGGATGAAACAGTTAAAAAGGAGGTTAACACACTAGGTGGACCAGGTCAAAATGAGGGGCAGTTTGTAGTGTGATGTAAGGGGGGGGGGTCCGATCGTTGGTCGATTTAGCCATGTCCCATGGTTCCCGCAGACAAAAGCAGACCGGCAGCAAAACCCACACACAACAGAGCACTAGTCCAACAGTTTGTTTAAGGGGGAGCACCACTTTCTCCCGTTACTGACGGGGCAAGGTGGAGCTCCTCACTCCGCCGTTGTGTGGACTCAATTTGTGGTGCCTTTCTTTGGTCACGTCGCCAAGCCACTTGCATCCTGGACAAAGAAAACACAAACTATCACCTACAGCCAAAGTCTATCGAGCTGGAGCATCACTAACAAGTGTAAAACACTTACTGGCAAGACAGACTTTCTCACTCCACCTCTGCGTTGCTCTGGCGTCATGGTGCTCTGATCCAGCTCGTGATTCGACTTGTGGTGGTGGCTTCTCTGCAGCGGTGTGCTCTGTCAGCTTCTCCTGGAGGGCCCCCCCCCCCAGTATAGCAGAGCAGGCAGCTTTATACTTGATCATCAAAATATTGACTAACTATAACTGTTTTTTGCAGGAAATTCACAGTAATGTTGACCCAGACAGTGTTATACGTTGGCATATGTTAAAGAGTTCAGACACTCCCCCTTTATGTCTCGTATACATCACAAAGTCCATCATAACATGTCCCAACCTCATTGACACTTTAAAGTTCAGACATTGACTCTTTATGACACATGTACAGGAACATTACCTTCCTTCCATATCACATGGTTAATTAACATGAATGAAACATCAAAAACACAGAGGATAATTCTCGCAGCTCTCAACTCCAGGCCCACTCTCTCCTTGTCAGTGTCCTATTATCCCTTTTATTTCCGTCTCGAGCCTTCCTCCTCCAGGTGTGTTAATTGCTCCAGGTACTCAGTGGTCAAAAAGAGTCACGTGGATTGAGGTTATAGGTCGGTGCTGATATAGACTTAAAAATGTAATAAAACTCCACAGCAGATAAAAACAGCTAATTAAAAACATGGAAATCTACACACAAATAATAAAACAAGCCTCCCATTGCACTGAGACATACCACAAACATCTGAAGTGAAAGAAAGTTCAAATCCAGTAACAGTATAAACGATTATAGTGTGAACAGTAATGTAATGTAAAATCATTTTCAACACAAAGTAACAGCATTTTATTTTTTTATTTTTTTTGTTCTCATATAGACCAAAGCTATTTTTTTCCTCCTATTTGTGTAATTTTTTTTTTTTTTTTTACAATAATTATCTGGTTTTAATATTAGTCTAATAATCAATTACTATTTAGGTATTGATTTTTTAAACAGTTCTTGTAAATCATTTTAAAGTTTTATGTAAATAGTTCAAAATAAAAGTCACAGTTGAGCCCAAATTGTGAAGAACAAAGCCTCTATTTGACTTTTAGGAAACATGCAGTGCTTTCAGTATTATAAATCCAGAGTCCAGCGTAGAGAGGCTGAGTGAACCTGGTCTGGACTCTGTGGACGAGGCTCATGGTACTTCCAGAGATGCTGTAAAACTTCAAAACCCCTGCACTGTGGTCCAGGTAAACCCCGATTCTGGATCGAAGCGGATCTGTGAACCGATCTGAGACTTGGGACTGGACTGAGTTAAATAAAAATGAGCAGTTGTTGGAATTACAATCTAAGGCCCAGGATTTATCATTGTATCCAAATAAACATTCTTTAGAGAATCCTTTCCTCTGAATATCTCTGTATGAAACTGCAACACGAGCCCACCAACCCCCACTCAGCTCCACCTCCCAGTAATGGCGACCCGTCAGACTCTCTCTGCTCAAGACCTGACACACACTGAATCTGTCTGGATGATCTGGATACCTCTGGTCATTACTCTTAAGTGTTGCTCTTCTGTTTCCATCACACAGAGACAGTTTGGTATGAGCTGTGTTTGGGTCCAGAGTGATTTCTGTAGAATATTGTAAGAAGTCATCTCTGGTGCTGGGTTCATCTGGTGCCATTAAAACCTGGACTGGACTCAAGTAGCTCCGGTCTCCTGTGTGAATGGTCTCTGACTCTGTGCTCCGTATGACTGGGGGCAGACTGATGTACCACTGTGCACCCATGTTGTCATCCACTGTGTCCACAAAGAGTCGTCACTGGATCCTCCAGTAGATCTAAACAAATAGAACAAGACACAGAGTCCTGCTGAACTCCTAGGACATGTCTGTGTGAGCTGTCCTCCCGAGACCAGCGCAGAATGAGATGGACCTGACAGTGTGCAGGTTTAGAACAGTGCCTCCTGCTCCTCCTTCATGGGTGGAACAGTCAGACGACACACCCAATACTCTACATACAGTAGAGTTGAATTTCTGTCATTTTGATGAGAGCTGGAAAGATAAGTTAATCTAGTCTGACCAAAAATCACCTGGACCAAAGCACATGATCAAGTTTATACTGAGAGAGATTTGTCCAAATGTGGCAGAGGTAGGTTCTGTGCTCAATATCACACCCTTTCTCCTGTAGACAAACATGTGCATTTCAAATACATCGTAGTTTTTAGTATTTTAAAACTGAGTGGACAATAGCTGCCAGACCAGTGCCCAGCTTCAAAGATCAGACCTCAGTGAGCTCTAACTTTGAGCAAAGGCCCTGGGGAAAATAAATTATGAAATATGACTCATAACTGCCACCTCAGTGATTTTGGATATGGTCATGGGGAATTTTCTTTAAATATATAACCCTTAGTCCTCCTGCATTATGGTCTTTAGTCCTGGTTTGGTCCTGGTTTACTCTCTCTTGGCGATGTTCTAGTTCATATCTGTTTAATCCTGGTTCAGAAAATTTCACTCTGTTTTAATCAAATTTACTCTGTGTCTCAATATCTTTGTCAAAATCATGTGTTTTCATGTCATAAGATTGTAGTCCAGTGGCAAATGGCAAAGCTCCTGGATATGTTTGAAATAAACACAGTGACCTGAATCTTCATGAAAATAGAATTGCAGTTTTGCTCACAAGTACACTTTCAGTTTGGCAAATGACAAATATGTTGTTATAACATTTTTCAGGTTTACAAGGAAACAACAAGCAGGAAATAAATATCACCTGTTGTGTCAGGTGTGACAGACAGGTGATGGCAGGGCGTTCACTCCTGTCACACCAGCAGGACCGCAATCTTATCAATTTGAAAATCACATGTATTTAGGATACTGCAAAGAGTTAAATACTTGAAGTGAAAGAAAGTTAGAAATGAATTACTTAAAAGGGAGTTTGCCCAACCAGTCCACATGTGCATTGTGGATCTGGAGAAGACATTCAACCGAAATGAGTTTCCTCCGCAGGGTGGCTGGGCGCTCCCTTAGAGATAGAGTGAAGAGCTCAGTCACACAGGAGGAGCTCGGAGTAGAGCCGCTGCTCCTCCACGTCGAGAGGCGCCAGTTGAGGTGGCTCGGGCATCTGTTCTGGATGCCTCCTGGACGCCTCCCTCGGGAGGTGTTCATGTCCCACCGGGAGGAGACCCCGGGGAAGACCCAGGACACACTGGAGGGACTATGTCTCTCGGCTGGCCTGGGAACACCTCGGGGTTCCCCCGGAGGAGCTGTAGCATGTGTCGGTGTTGTAGGAAGTCTGGGAGTCCCTGCTTAGACTGCTGCCCCTGCAACCCGGCCCCGGATAAGCAGAAGAAAATAGATAGATGGAAGAATTACTTAAAAACAGAGGCTGGTGTAAAACATGTAGAAATATTGAATTTCCACCTTACCGTGGTGGGGAAGTTTGCATACCTGATGATCCTAGGAGCTATGTTGCCCGGGGCATCAAGCCTCTGGTAGGGTCTCCCATGGCAAACAGGCCCTAGGAGATGGGTCAGATTAAGTCCAGTTCAACACACTCTTACGAACAGTTTAAAATCGAGGACCGTGATGTCACCCAATATAGCAAAGCCAGGGCCCCACCCTGGAGCCAGGCCTGGGGTTATGTGTGAATGCGAGTGTCTGGTGGCCGGACCTTTGCCCACCGGGTCTGGCTGGGCTCAGCACAAACAGACACTGTGGGTCCATCCTCCTGTAGGTTCATCACCTGCAGAGGGATTCAGAGGGATCAGATGTGTAGAAGACTGGGCAGCAGTCGACACTGGGTGTCTTAAGAGCTCAGTCCACAAACAGACATCTGGCTGTGGCGACATGGAACATCACCTGAATGGAGGGGTAAGAGCCTGAGCTTGTGCAGGAGGTTGAGAGTTACCGGTTACATATAGCCAGGTTAACCTCAACACACAGATTGGGCTTAGTCTTGTACCCAACACTTAAGTATTGGTCACACCAGAGCATCAAAAAACACCCTAGACGCCTGTATTTGGACGCCTTTGCATTTGAGTTTAGATGCCCCCAACATGCATCTTTGATGCCGAGGATGAACAGGAGAAAAATACTTGACGTGTGTCAGGGCAACGGTCTTTTCCTGAAACGAATGCAGACCAGGCTGAGAGAGAGTTAATCTTGGTTTAGTCCTGGTTTAGTCCTGTATTAGTCCTGGTTTAGTCTTGGTTTAGACCTGTTTTAGACCTGGTTTAGACCTGGTTAAGTCCTGGTTTAGACCTGGTTTAGTCCTGGTTTAGTCCTGGTTTAGACCTGGTTTAGTCCTGGTTTAGACCTGGTTTAGTCCTGGTTTAGTCCTGGTTTAGACCTGGTTTAGTCCTGGTTTAGTCCTGGTTTCTGGTGCATGTTTTGGGTTGGTAGAAGCAGAGTACCTGGAGGAAACCCCTCAGACACAGGAGAGAACATGCAAACCCCACACAAATCACCTGACCTGGAAACCATCATCAGTTCTTCCCGAGCCGCAGCCTCAGTTTTCCGGTGTGTTTTTCTTCAAAGGGAAAGTCTAATGCGTCCCCATGGCGACCCGGACTCTTAAAGGGCTGTGTCTTTCATGTTATTTACGCCGCGGCAAACAGAAAATTGAGCTTTATGACGGAAATGAGACACTGACAAAAGTTCACCACGAACTGAGATCAAACTTTCAAAAATATTAAAGGAAAAAGATATAAACATATATATAACATTTTCTGATCTGTTCTAATGTTGTTTCCTCATCACAAACACACCTGGAGTTGTGTTTTGTTTCATTCTCACATGTTTAGGGTTTTCTCAAATTGAGAAAATCTGTTCAATCCGTGTATCATTCATTCATTCATTTTTAAAAAAAAAAAAAAAAAAAAAAAAAAAAAAAAAAAAACTACTATTTTCTTCATTATTTGTCTCCAAAACCAAAATGAAAAAACGGATAATGCTTTGATTTTTTTTTTTTTTTTTTTTTCAGTTTTTAAGTTTGTGTTGAAATGAATAATGGAGAAAAAAAAAAAAAAGATAATGCTCATTTCCTCATTTCTGTGATTTAATCTGTGATGCCAGACTTTTGCACGGCATACGGACTGAACCAGGACTAAAACAGGACTAAACCAGGTCCAAACCGGGTCTAAGCCAGGACTGAACCACAACTAAAACAGATCTAAACCAAAACAGAACCAGGGTTAAACCGGTCTCAGTCCTGGTTTGGTCCCGGTCTCAGTTCTGATCACCGGACAGTCAACACTCACCTCTGGGCCCGTCCCGACACTTGGTCCTGGTTCGGTTCTGGTTTGGTCCTGGTTTAGGACTAAGACTGGGACTGAGACCAAGACCAGACCAGGACCATACTGGGAATGAGACCGGGACTGAGACTAGGACTAAGACCGAGACCAAACTGGGACCAGACCGGGACCAGACCCTGACTGAGACCAGTTTAGTCCTGGTTCAGTTTCAGTTTAGACCTGGTTTAGTCCTGCTTTACACCTGGTTTAGACCTGTTTTAGTTCTGTTTTATTCTTGTTTTAGTCCTGGTTCAATCCTGGTTCAGTAATGGTTTCCTGGTTTCCTGGTTTAATCCTGGTTTAGTCCTGATTAAGACCTGGTTTAGTCCTGGTTTAATCCTGGTTTAATCCTGGTTTAGTCCTGGTTTAGTCCTGGTTTAGACCTGGTTTAGTCCTGGTTCAGTCCTGGTTTAGTCCTGGTTTAATCCTGGTTTAGTCCTGGATTAGACCTGGTTTAATCCTGGTTTAGTCCTGGTTTAGACCTTGTTTAGTCCTGGTTCAGTCCTGGTTTAGTCCTGGTTTAATCCTGCTTTAGTCCTGGTTTAGTCCTGGTTTAGTTCTGGTTTAGTCCTGGTTTAGTCCTGGTTTAGACCTGGTTTAGTCCTGGTTTAGTCCTGGTTTAGTCCTGGTTTAGTCCTGGTTTCCAGTCCTGGTTTAGTCCTGGTTAGTCCTGGTTTCAGTCCTGGTTCAGTCCTGGTTTAGTCCTGGTTCAATCCTGGTTTAGTCCTGGTTCAGTCCTGGTTTAGTCCTGGTGTAGTCCTGTTTTAGACCTGCTTTAGACCTGGTTTAGTCCTGGTTTAGACCTGCTTTAGACCTGGTTTAGTCCTGGTTCAGTCGTGGTTTATTTTGTTTTCTTATTTTGGTTTTATTTTGAAAAACCAATGAACAAATGATACACGGATTCCGTTCCACCTTGTGATGTCATGTGGTGATACAGGAAGTGCTCCAACGTGTTTTTAAACTCTACACACCTTCATTAGAATCTTTTGGATTTTCATTTCGGTCCTGGAATGGCCCATCTCTGCTGAACTAAATGTAAAAGGAGGTTGACTTGAAAACGACCACTTCATGACATCACAAGTTGGAACAGGGCATTTGGAGCTGTGGAGATGTCAGGTGTTTTCTGTTTCATATTTCATCAGTTTCATTGTTGACGTTGAGATGTTGAGGACTCACAGCTGCAGCGCTGCCCCCTTCAGGTCAAGTGTGAGCAGTGCAGAAAGAGACAGAACAGACTAAAGGCCTCAGCACGAGAACTGAACCAGGACTAAACCAGGACTACACCAGGACTGAACCAGGACTAAACTAGGACTAAACCAGGACTAAACCAGGACTGAACCAGGACTTAAACAGGACTAAACCAGGACTAAACCAGGACTGAACCAGGACTAAACCAGGACTAAACCAGGACTAAACCAGGACTGAACCAGGACTTAAACCAGGACTAAACCAGGACTGAACCAGGACTAAACCAGGACTAAACCAGGACTGAACCAGGAC